CATCCACCCTAACACCAGAACCCCTTGCCCTTGGGCAAAAAAAATTCAAAATTTTGGAAGAGGCATTCTTGCTCATTATAACTATATACTTAGTTTATTTAATACCCAGGAACAGAGAAGAAGATTTTCAAATAATTTCTACATTTTCTATCTATATATAATCATTATAGAGCCCTGCCCTAACACCTGAACCCCTTACCCTTGGGCATTAAAATTCACAATTTTTGAAGAGGTAAACAATTTCATCATAACTATGTATTACTAAGTTTATTTAAAACCCAGGAACAGAGAAGATTTTTAAAGAAATAATGCATTTTCACTATATAATCAATAGAGCCCCGCCCTAGCACTAGAACCTCTCACCCCGGGGCCTTAAATTTCACAATTTTGGTAGAGGACTCAACGGTCATTACATTCATGCTAACAGTTTGACTGCTTGATGTCCAAGAGTAAAAAAGATTTTTAAATATTGCATCAATTTAAGTGGTTTTGGCCACACTACTCAGGCCCCAGGGGGCAGGGACCATGAAATTCACAATTTTTGTTCCCCTTCACCAATAGATGCTTTATCTTAAATTTGGTGGAAATTGGTTGAGTGGATGCAGAGAAGCTAAAAACGTTCAAATGTTAACACACCACACACACCGCACAAAAACTCATTTGCTCAGGTGACCTAAAAAAGATTACTAGTATTCTATCCATCTATTTTTTCATCCTATTATTTCTCCCATTTTTAAAACATAAACCAGTACAGATACAGTCTAATAAGATCATGGAAATAGCATCCAAATAGTTTTGCTTGGTCTTCCCCTCCTTCTTTCTATTTTTGTCTTAAAAAATTAGAAACTTTTTATTTGTATTCCAGGACACAATGGTTTTTTCTCGCTTTGTAATAATATAATATTCCCTACTTGTCTACCCTTTTCACATATTGTACAGCAATGTGCAGCCATAACAATGTTACCATGAGATATTCATAATATTTTTCCTATAATAGATTAATGTTTTAATGTTTCCCAACAGATGGATCATTATTACATCAAAAAACGTAAAAGAAAGCAAAAAGCTTTCTTTTATGGTCCAAGGAAAAAAACTGTTATTGTCAACAACAATGAATTACCTTCTCGTCAGACATTAGGAGCAGATCCAACAGAGATTGCAGAACCTTGCATTACTCAATCAACCTCCACTGAGGACCATATTGTCCATGTAGCTGATGACAAAAATAATTCAAGTATGCTAATTTTTCTTAATACAACCAACAAATATCAATATCATCTAGTGCTGTACAGGACAATCCAAAACTGCATTTCTAAATGTTCTTTCTCTTTCCCATCTGTATTGTCTAGTACCCAACATTATGTAATAAATCAGTTTAAAATCACTTAAATGTACGTACTACATTTGGAAGTTATTTTAAAACTTTAATTGGAAAGTAAATAGAGGTTAGCACATGCTCAGATCTACCATATCTAAAGAGTTGCGAAACTAGTGTTTATATTAATAAAAAACCAAATAATGACAAGAAGTAAGTCGCATAACTATTTAATTATACATCAAAATAAATATAAAAAAAACTTAGAAAACTTCATTTCTTGAAAACAATCCATTTCCCATGGTGATCTACAACGAGAAAGTGCCCAATTCTGTTATTAACAAACTGAACTATATAAACTAAAACATGAGGCCCATGGGCCTTATAGTTCACTTCAGCATCATTTAACAACTTACCATTGGTTCATGTTCTAAACCACAGGCCATGATATTCACAATTTTGAAAGATCCAATGCATTCATTAATTATTATTTATTTCACAACTTTTTAGTTAGCTAATTTATTTTTATATTTTAAATATAAAACCCCAAATGTTAAATAATCAAAGAAAAACTGAAGTCAGAGTTTTTGGGGCTATATTTCAATATTTCTTCATTTGTATCCATATCCCTATTGTTCTCACAGATATCTCAATATATCGTCCCAGCCCTTCCATAAATACCAAACAATTTTGGTCGAGACACTTTTCCTCATCATTTCTTACAATTTGATGTTTAATGCCAAAGGGAAGTGAAGAAAATTTTCAAAGAAATAATGCATTATCAGTATATTATATATACTGGTGCCCATTCTAGCACCAAAACCCCTGATTCTTGATTCTTCAATTTCACACTTTTGGTAGAAGATTCAATGCTTATAATTATTACAATTATGCAAACAGTCTGACTGCTTAGTGTCTATAGGAGTCCAGATTTAAAAAGATGGTAATAATTTTCATGGTTAAGCCCCACCCCTCAAACCCCAGGCTGGAGGGAGGACAGGGACGAAGAAATTCATAAATTTTGTTCCCTGGCCTTCACCAATAGATGCCATATATTCAAGTTGACTTCAATTTGTTCAGCAGTTTCAGAGAATATTCAAATCTTAACACAACACAGATGACCGACAAAAATGTAAAGCAATAGGTCATCTGAATGACTCAGATGGCCTAGATATATTATTTATATTCTATGTGTAGGAAACCCCAATTTAAGTTGATAAATCAGTGTCAAATGCATTATGACTGAAAATATTGCAATTACAGACTTGCAAATGTTTGTCATTTTTAATTAAAAATATAATTAATGAAAACTAAATGAAACATAAAATACCTTCATATAGTTTTTTTTTTTATTATTTAATTTTTTAAAAATATTGATCTATTTAAAAGCACTCAGACAAATCAAACCAATACTTCTAAATCTAATGCCATAATTTTGCTATGGTAAGACAACTTTCTTTTATATCTATACTCACCTATAACTAAGACACTAACAACATTTTATAGAAATCATTCAGTTTAAAAGATTTTAAAGGTACTTTGCATATTACTACAATCATTACAATGGCAAGGAGAAAACCTACAAAACTTTACCATGACCTGTACAAAGTGAATTACTCAATATCAACCAAAAATGTTTACCATTCTGCTTTACATGCAATTGTTTTGGGAATATCATAAAATAGATAATGACCTGAAGTTTGCTTTAATTAAAGTATTAAGTCTTACCAATTCATCCTTTATCCAAAAAAGTTATTTCTTTTTAATAAGGATACAAGACAGGGAAAGAGAAGCGTATGCAGAACTGGACTCAGCTGTTTCCAAAGTTGTTAATTTCTGCAACAGAAAAAAGCTCTGTTGTTGAAATGACTTGCTGTCAGTGTTTTGAGTCAACCACAGATCTCTACAGATGCTTAGACTGCATTGGATCTTGGGTGATGTGTGAAGGTTGCCTTCATTCTAACCACTCAAATCCACATTTACATGTGTTTGAAAAATGGATGGTATGTACCTTACACTATAGAATAGACCAATAATTTTATAGCAATTTAATTCTGGTTGTAAAATGCCATTCCTTTAAAATAAACAAGAGCCCCATGGACCTCATCACTCACCTGACTAGCTTTGACCATGCTTTTCAGTTTACCAGATTTCCCCTTTATAATACATATTTAAACCCAACCCTACCCCAGGGGCCATAAATTGGACAATTTAAAATCTACACTACCCTATGATGCTTTTGCATAAATTTCAGCTTTTCTTGCTCAGTAGTTCTGGAGAAGAGCACTTTTTTATTTTTAAAAAAGGATTTTTCCTATGTAGTTTGTTGTGTAACTTGGATTCCAAATTGTGGACTTCGCCCTACCCCCAGGGGTCATGAATTGAACAAATTAAAATAAACACTTCCCTAAGATGCTTTCAAACAGCTTTTCTGTCCAAGTATTTTATTTTATAAAAAATCTTTATATTTTAATTTATAACTTGGGTTCCCCAGGATGCTTCCACATAAATTTCACCTTTTCTGCCTCTGTGATTCGAGAGAAGATTTTTTAATGACCCCACCCTATTTTTGGCTTTTCTTGATTATCTCCCCTAAGTGGACTTTGCCCTCCATTTTAAAAATTTAAATTCCCCTTCACCCAGGGATGCATTGTACCAAGTTTGGTTAAAATTGGCTCACTTGTTCTTGAGAAGAAGTCAAAAAGTGACAAGCTTACAGATGGACGGACAGCTAGACAGAAGAACGGATGATGGACAAAATGTGATCAGAAAAGCTCACTTGAGCCTTTGCCTCAGGTGACCTAAAAATAACTTGAATCTCATTACCTTAATATGCTTTTTATTGGTGTCTCCACTGACAACTACGTACTTTTTGAAGGAATCAAGTCCATTAATCTTCATAGAAGACACATACATAACAATCAGGGAACTACTGAGGCTCTTCTCTCACAATAACTTGCTCCTAGCTCTGATCAGCTAAAAATATTAAAGTTTCAATGTATAATTCAAATATTGCAAATTAAATATTGTTTTTTTTTCAGAATGGTACCTTTATTGGATATCAATGTGAGAATTCTGTCTGGTGCTCAGTGAAACATAAACACTGCCCAAACAAATATCATAAAGACTTGGTTGTCATTGATGACAAAGGTAAATGACATTAACATGCAGTTTGAAAGTTTTAGCAACTTTTGTTTTTATCTTCCTAACACACAAAATTTAGTCAACTAACAGAAAATGAAAGTTTTAAAATCAAAATGCAAAATAATCTTTCCCATATTTTGGACAGGCTATTCATGATATATATCGCCGAGCTTATCCTGATAACCGGGATTATATACCTTCAAGAAGGAAGCATCAAGACATTCTCAATAGCTCAATTCCTTTGAAATTGTATCTTCCATACGCAAAATACCTATTTTAAGTCAAACAATATTGACTAATTCTAAATAAAATGATTTTAAATGATTTTAATCCTATTGAAGAGATACAGTAAGACATCCTGATAATGAATTCACATTTACAACGAAGTGCTTTATATTTCCTGGGACTCAAAATACTTTTTTCCGCGGAATCTTCTGTTTAATTTGCTGGTAGAAAATTACGCAGATTTCTTAAACTGTCACTATATGCCTTAGGTTTATATTAAGTACCCTTGGACAAATTTTCACGGAAAATTTGTAACTGCCTAGTGCCTACATAGCTTAATTAAATTAATACTCGGTGCAAAAATGTATTTCTACAGTATATAAACGTAATTTTTTTGAAACTTGAAATATTTCATTAAGAACATGTGTAATAATTCCTTTCCTTATAAAAATGCCTGCGTGAAGAATTTTAGTTCATGTACCTCATGAATCTTCAAAAATAAAATGCATTTATTTATTTATTATATTTTCATTACCGTAATATATACTCGCCTATAAGTCGGTTGTATTAAATTAGCTTGTATACCAGATGGACTGACCTCATATAAAACCAATACTTTTAATAGCTTGCCTATAAGTCGGACACAGAGTTTAAGACCAGAGATTAACTCCCAAAAAACCGACTTATAGGCGAGTATATACGGTATTTTAATTTTTTTTATGATGAGTAACTACAAATTACGCTATTCAGTCATTTTTAAGCAAAATTGCACAGTTTTGACATCAAGCACTGTTATAAGAATGGAGATAATTCATGCTCATTCATTGTTGTTCCTGAGAAAATGAACAAAATTCTTATTTGTAAGGAATGTTAAAGACAAATATATTTACATTTGCAAATGTTTCCCTTTAAATAACACTATTAAAGCAATATGTATATAAAGTTCCTTTCATGAATGAAATAATTTCAAAAATTTCAAAGTATTGCTTAACCAAAGAGATGAATTTTCTCTCTGACAAAATCACAAGAGTGTGCTTTAGATTTATAGCAATTCAGTTCTAGCAGGAAATTATAGGATTTTTCTTCCGTATGAAAATATATATAACATCTTTAAAGCACTTGAATGATAAAAATGTGAGGTCATAAAGGTTATGAGCACGTCTTGGTACAAGATCAAATTCACTATAAAGCCCTTCAGGCTTCATGGAATTTGATCTCTTGACCAACCCATATTTATATACATGTATGTTCAATAGGTCTTGGTACAAAGCATAGCATTGCCAATATTCCACCTATCTTTGCAAACTGGACTTTCTCAGAATCCCTAAATAATATCATAATACTGTAATTGATATTATATGACTTGTTTTACTATTTCACAATTATTGTCTACAAACCAAACTCTTACAGGTCGACAACATCTCCGTACAATAGAGTTCTGTGCATGTGAAGAAGAACCAGTGACATTGCTAGACTTTAATCTGTGGCCCTCTTCTCCAATGTATCCTAAAATAGCCTTTCACTTTGACCTACTCAGATGGCTAAATGGATTGATGCTAGAAAGTCACGTATCTGCAAAGAGCTTCTGTGAAGCACTCACTGCAAGACTGCCTAAGCACCAAAAGAAGTACACATCTAAGGAAGTAAGGATGATATATTATATAGTACCCCTTAATTTTTTTTGTCTGAAAAGTACTTTACATAAAAACAAGAGGCCCAAGGGCTTTAAAGGGACATGAACACAGTTTCCACTAGTTTTTTTTTAAAAATTCAATTATAATGTTTATAATTCCTAATTAACGAGGCCCGATCTACTTGATCTTGATCAATATATACGTAACTTGATATGCGCATAGTTTTAACACAGCGTTGACACAGTCAAATTGCCCTTAAATGTTGTGATGATCTTGCAGTTAAGTCAGTCTTAACTGATAAGGGGGACGGTCTTACCTTGCTGTAGATGGAGATTGATCCTAATTTATTTAAGGGGTCTTAATATTTCAGTTTTATTAGAAATATACACATACAACAGTATAGAAGACTAATACAGAAGGGAAAGTAGCTCCGCCCACTGTAGTCCCTTGCAGAAGAGCAAACATCAAAAAAAAAAATTCCTCAACCGTCTTATTAAATGAAATAATAATGAAACTGAATTTTTCAAAAATATGTTTTTTAAAACTTATATGCTGTTAACACATAATTATGGTACCGGAAAATGAGGTTGGCTATAATTAATTTTCAGACAGGAAAGGCCGGGTCTTTAACAAAGCTTTCAAATGAATAATTTATTGACAGCAAATTACCAAAAGGACAAGATAGGGTAACAGCCGAATTTTTTATATAAAAATCAGAACACTGACAAAACTGTGATAGTTTGTAGTTAAGAAGTTAAAATGATGCTTACTTTAAGACAAGCACTAATTTTGATTCAAAGGCTACATGGAAGCCACTAGAGGGTTCAGAAATAGGACATATTCCAGAATTTCCTCAATTCTCAAGGTGGATTTTCATCATATTTTGGGTACATTTCTCTTCGGAAAACATAGAGCACACACTTGCCTATCTCAGATTTTTACACATTTACTGCATCTGATATCAGTGTATTAAATATATAAATTTGGGAAATAGGCAAGCGTGTGCTCTATGTTTTCCGAAAGAAAATGTGCTGTAAAATTAGTGAAAATTTGCATAAAAATGATAAATTTCGAAAATTGACCTATTATCTGACCTCACTTCGACCTCTGTATATTCTTAATCTTAAAACCAGTACTCATTTTGTGGCAGGGGTGAAAACAGGTTTTCATGCCATGGATAAACTGTTGGATCATATTCTGAAAGACACCCAAAATCGGGGGCCAAATACTGGTCTTACCCTATCTTGTCCTTTGTTAAAATGATTTAAATACCAATATTTAACCATCATCATATGAAATTTAACCTTTTATTTGTTTTGGTTGAAAAATCAGAGTACGGTATATAAACTGGGACTTAATTGAGATGCAAGAGTTGCTGTTATTTGTTTGGTTTAGACTGCCCTTTCTTTGGAAAAGTCCGTAAGGTGGCGACACCTCCATCCTCTGTTTCTAGAGGATAATATCTATCCTCCAAAAACTAGCGCGCTTCATGAAATATGCCTACATGACAAGTCAGTGTGATTCACACACCAATAACTCACACAAAACTGAAAAACATTCCTTAAATACCATTTAAAATTATTTTCAAAGCTGGGGAAAGTATAAAATCTACATGAAAAAATACCCATTGTGAGCGACAAAAAATTGTCGGAATAAATTGAAGGTTTTTACAATGCTTGGATCTGTAGTTCTCTGCTTTAATTATCTGTCCAAATTTTCTCAAGCACAGAGCTACTGTGCAGTTCCATAAACTGTTCATGTTGAAAGCTGGCATTCTATTATTTACATGTTGGTTTTTTTTTTTAATTTAAATCAATAAACATCTTTGGAATATAAATTTATTTTGAGGTATCAATTTCTTGGTACAGATTCATTAATTTCATCTTAGTTTGATTTCATGTATATCGCATGAAAAAACAATTTCAGTACCTTATCTACAAAAAGCACCCTTATCTCTTTGAACAATGGTTAAGGCCGATGTATAATGAGTTGATATAAGGCTTCATAAAACAAATGTTGTAAATGTGAGCATAGAAATGAAACATTAATTATACATCATTTTTAATATCTCTTTCATGAATCTCAAAAAAAGAATTGAAAATGGGTTTCCCTGGGACAATTCCAGTTGCCCTTTATTTTCAACACACGTTAAATGAGTTTTTAATATCTCTTTCATGAATCTCAAAAAAAGAATTGAAAATGGGTTTCCCTGGGACAATTCCAGTTGCCCTTTATTTTCAACACACGTTAACTGAGTTATAACTTGTAGTAGCCCATATTGCCTTAACTCATTCATCAGTGGATATAGTAAACTTATAACAAATTTACAGGCATATTTATGCTGACATCAAAAGATCTAGTGGTCTCAACCTGTGTTTATGTAATTGCACTATCAGTGATTAACAATTCTTCAAATTTTGAAAATACAACAGGAAAAAGAAATCTACAAAGTTTTAATGGAAGAAACTATTAACCAGTTCCGCCACTTCTGCTATAAAATGGATTTCTGTGAGCGGTTTGAAGGGCTTGACAATGGTTGTAGTTGTCCTGCATGTTATCAGGTACATGGTTCTAAAATATCTACTCGAATAAACCAAGATACAACTTGATTTTTTTTTTAACTTATTAAAATATATGGTTTAAATTAAAATTTTACCTTTTTGAACAGACAGACACTCCATTTTATTGCTTGGATGCAGACTTCCAGCTTGTCAGGAAAACTTCCTCTGGGAAAAGCTGGCTTGATCCAAAACATTCAGAACACTTTTTTGTGGAGCAAGACAAAGTCGATGACTTTGTTTCTTCCTATGAGGAAAAGACTTCATATACTAAAACCAAGGTGGGCAATGTTCATCAATCACCAATTACTATGCATCTAAGCCAATATTTTTCCAAATTATATTTCTCCAAGTTTAATTACAATGAGATATACATATACCGTATATGCTTTTAAAAATTATTAGAACTACTCAAGTTTTGATTCTCAACTCAGATTCAAATAATGTTCAACATGATTATAAAAATTAATCTTGTGGGAAATAAACAATTAGTCATGTTCTTTTTGAATTTATATTTTTTTACTTACAATTTTTAGAGGTTCCCCCCTCAGCTTTTGAGCAGCTTATTGTCTTGTCACCTGTATATAAAATTCATAAGATATTCTAAGTTCTCACAATAAATTTGGATTGTACATTTATATTGTTAATTAAAGTATATTTAATTAAAACCTCATAATTAAATTCAATACCAAAATATATTTAGTGAGGAACTTTATTTCTGTGGCTTAATTTTCTTTTCTTTCTTTTTTCTTTTTTTTTTTTTTTTAGAAGAAAATGATCAATTTTATCTCTTTCTGAAGTATTTAAAATTGTTAATTATGGATTCCTTTTTTATATGCAAAATGCACACAGAATAATTTTGAGCATTGAAATGATTTATGTTGGTCCTAAATTATGTATCAAAATTACCGTCATGAATTCTAATATCATACTTGGCAATTATCATATCATATATATCTTGCAAGTCAATCAGAAAGATAGCCTGATTCAAGCTTAAAATTAACACTATTTGAGTAAGATCTAAAACTTAACTCCACAAAATGTAAAATGTTAAATACTTAACATCAATATTTCTCACAAAATTCAATCCCCATGAACAGCGATTTAATAATTCCTCAACCCATAAAAACTTAACCCCAACAAAATCTGTGATTTTACAGTATGTTTATAGATTCTAAAAATATGCTTGACAAGAAAATCTCAATACTTTTGATGACTAGGAGCCAACCTAGTTAAGTTTTGAAATTTTAATTACCTCTTTTACATTTGGTATATACCATTTTTAGGATTGCAGTAACTTCCAAGCAGGAGATACCTTACGATCTAAGAATAAGAATGCCAAGCTGTCGGAGAAGGCTGTTTTTGGGGCTACATGTCGTCATGATTTCCCTCAAAAATTTTTCAGCTTAAAACATGGAGAAAGGTATTTCTAAAACCGAAAGATATATTAAAAACAATCTTCTAACTATAAATATGAAAATTTTCTACCTGCACCACGAGGTATATATTATTTCAGATTATTTTTGCATTAAAAAATTATTTAATTATAGATTATTTTTCATTGACTGAAGTGGCAGGTCCATTAATGCTTTTTCCAAGATCTATTTATTTAGGGATTGTAACGAATCAAAAGGCTAAAATTGTTTTAATTTTTTTTTTATCAGTTATTAAGAAATTCTTAAACCTTTCTTTCTAATACTCATATAAGGCATTATGTTATGTTATGTTATAAATTGTATTATGTTATTTGCATTATGACATCACAATTAGTAATACCAGCTGCAGTATCTGTTTTTAGAAACATCCCTGAATGTGAGTTATTGTTAAATGGTAGTTCTCACCATGGACTTGACATTAATTGTGACAATTAATACATATATACATGTATATATACAGTTGAGCTTAAATTTCTACACTAGATAAAGGACATGTGCACTTAAGCTAAGCAATGCTTAATGGGCCCTTTTTATGTGTCATTTTACTTTAGAATACATCACCAAATCGTTCTTGTTTGGTAAGAGTTAGCTTCTAGTGAATATTTCTAAGTAAAAAGCATGTTAAGCATCACCTAAATCAACATGGATTTGAAACAATTGAATAGTTTTGAATGCCCATGGATATCCTAAATACGGAAAAGTCATACCAAACCTTCTTTGACTTTCTTTTATGTAAAGGAAGGGGAATAGATATTTAAATCGATGCTTGAACAATCTGATGTTGGATCATAGTCAGGTGCGTTTTGCTTTTTGCGCCATATCTGTTTTAAAAAATTCAGTGAAGTTGTGTGATCCTGTAGTCAAAATGATCAAACAAAGAAATTAGTACTATTGCATTTAAAAAAAAATACAATAATAGTTTCATTGAATTTAAAATTACAAAGGAGTGTTTAGGTGGCTTTCAATAATACTTGTTTCACTGTCTTGCATGAATATTAAAAATGTTTCACACTTTTATGAATGGCACTAAACTCCCATAACCCTCTGGTATTCTTAAAACAAATCCATACAATATTTCTAAGCAGCATGAATTTGACTAAATGATACAAAACCTGCCGATGTTTTACAGTGAGCACATTTAAGGGGTGTTTACCTGGGTATAACTCACGTGACTATGGGTATTTTAAATAATTTATTCCACAAGCGGGTTCAACATGGGTCATACAGGTAAATAGCTCTCACTCACTATAGGAAAAATATTGCACTTTTTGTACATTTTTAATATTTTAAGTACCAGCCTAATCGTGTAAAAATTTCCTACTTTATCACAAGTTTTATAAATGTATTATGCGTATTTAGTCACTCCCACAAGTTTTTACAAAGTTAGGCTCATAGTAAACAAAAGCTTTGAAATGAATGATCATTCTCGATTTACTATAGAAAATCACATATGTTGGCTGACCCTAGCCACATTCTATGGTTTTGTTCTTTATATTCGTGAATTTTAGCGGTAAAATTTGTTGAATTGTAACGGTTTAGAATGTTTTGGATGAAAAATTTTGCTTTATTTGATAGTTTATTTTTTCACATTTTACCGGGGCCCATAAGTGCACTCGTTCTTTACCAACAAACAGACAGTGCAAGAAATATGCTGATCAGAAAACTTAATTGGGGTTTCAGATGCCTTAATTGCCTAAGTAACTTAAATCTTTCTTTGTAGATTAGGATATGCAATATTCCTATTGGAAATGTTTAAGGAACAGCATTCAGGCAAAAGCGTTCACATTTCATATGATATCGCCTGTATCCTAAAGAAACATCTGGAGGTACATTTGCATCAAGTTAGCTATAATTTTATTCCTAAGCCTTGGCAAGAGGATAAAATCACACAAGTTGGATAAAAATCTTATCTAAGTATTAATCATGGAAGTTTCTTTTTATCCCATGTTTTATACAGCATTACTAATTAGAGTAATGTTTTTCTCTATGACTTCATCAATATAAGTTAACACAAAAAACAAGAGGCCATGGGCCCCATTCCCCACCTTAGGTTGCTTTCACCATGATTTAATTGACCAGATTTCCCCCTTGTACTACGTATTGTGATCCCATCCTTCCCCAAGGGTCATAATTTGAACAATTTGGAATCTACGCTACCCCAAGATGCTTCCACAAAAGTTTCAGTTTTCTGGCCCTGTGGTTCTTGATGATTTTTAACGATTTTTTCTATATTTTTCTATGTAAAACTTTAATTCCTTATGGTGGTCTACCCAATCCCTGGGTTATGATTTGAACAATTATGAATCTACACTACCTAGCATGCTTCCACATGTTTCAGCTTTTTTTGCCTAGTGGTTTTTGAGAGAAAGATTTTTAAAGATTTCCTTATATATTTCTGTGTAAAACTTTAATTCCCTAGTGTGACCCCGCCCAACCCTCAGAGGTTATGATTTTAACAATTTAGAATCTACACTATCATAGCATGCTTCTACTTTAGTTTCAGCTTTTCTGGCCATGTGATTCTTGAGAAGAAGATAATTTAATCTGCCCACCCTATTTTTGTCTTTTCTTGATTATCTCCCCTGGTTAGGGGACTTTGCACTCCATTTTAACAATACAAATTCTACATCACCCAAAGATGCTTTTACCAAGTTTAATTAAAATTGAACTATTGGTTCTTGAGAAAAAGTCAAAAATGTGTCTTCCAAAAAATGAAAATCTTATCAAAAATACTTACTCTTTTTCCATAGAAAACAGGCAATAAGGAATTGCTGCAGTCTTTCACCTTCTCTGTTCCAGTTTTCCATTCCTATGGTCATACAGCCTCCTGTCAGGCAAGATTAAATAATATATTTTTTTAATGTGATACCCTTTACATGGAATTTAAAGCAACTAAAAACTTTCATTAGTGATTCATGGTTTCCTTGTATTTTCATTCTTTTATCTCTCATGGTTAATGCCAATTACTGTTTTAATACTTTAATGCTTTTATCTTAGTTTTTTTTTTTTACAGATGATCATGAGTCCAAGGCAAACTCTAGGGAATGGATTAACTGATGGAGAAGGGATAGAGAGACTTTGGTCCTATCTTGGCCATTTCTCCTGCATCACAAAGGAAATGACTCCGGAAAACAGAACTGATCTCCTCACCGACGCTCTGATACACTATGGTCAAAAGATAAGAGAAAAGCAAGGTACAAGAGTTGAAAAGTTTTGTGTGTTTAATATAAAAATTCTGTTAAAATTAATGAATTAGTAAAAAGTTGCTTTGAAAATTTAAATATGCTTGAGTTTACTAATATGCACAAAGTATTGCCCCCTTAAGGTCATACGCAATGTAGTTCGAACTTTTTGGCTAGGGGTAAAGGAATGATTAACCACCAGATATGTCTGATTAATATTTTAGATATGATATGTTAAGCTGTAAACTTTTAATTAGAAAAGAAAAATTTCATACATTTTAGTTTCATAATTTGATCATTTTTGGATACCATTGTATGGAGCTCTTCTTCTTAAGGATATCAAGAGAGTCTTAAAATGGCCACAATCTTCCAGCCCCTTTAAAAGAATGTAAAAAAAATCAAAACTATAAAAAAGTTTATTTTTTTATTTTCTCTTTTATTACGTACCATTCATGCAAAGGAGACTCAGTAAAAATACTCCCAAATTTAGAATTAAGGAGATATGTTCCAAGCAAAAATATATGAAGCTGAACTTCTTTAAACCATAGGTCTGTTATATATACACCATGATTTGAAAAACAAATATTTTTAAAAAAAATTTCCATGAATTCACTCAAAATTAAAAAATGTTCATATAAAATTGTGTGTATGTTGCCCATGCATTAGGCTTCACTGCAATCTCAGGACAGACGGACAATGGACAACTGGCCTGGGGGCCATAAAACTTAGATGAGCTCACTTTTGATCTCAGTCTCACTTTTTCCAAAGGATTATATAGTGGAAAAGTGAGCTCATCTAAGTTTTATTGCCCCCAGGCCTGTGCATCAGAAAAACTCAAATTACCTTACAGCTCAATTGAGCAAAATAATGAACTTTTAAAATTAAAAAAATTGTTTAGAGAGTGGAGCATGATCCTTGCCATGTTCTTCTCTATGCTTTTACTCAGTACACTATGTGGAAATGTTTGCATTTTAATATAATATTACCTACTGTGATTATGTTTTCTTTTAGCATAAGATTCTACAATTTCTCTTTCCATAAATGCCCATGCTAAACCTCAAACTTTTTTGTATTTTTTTTAAAATTTATTTTTTGTGTATTCTTTGCCAATTTTAAATGAGAAATCACTCTATTCTTATTAATTTTTATCTGCATAGGGGATGTTTTAGTTAGAAAATATGAAAGAGCTACGGACCTTATGGAGACCAATCAAAGAGCTCTTGACGATATGCTGGAGACATTTGAAGGTAAACCTATTTTTATATAAAAATTCTCTACATTTGTGTCCAGAAGACATTAAAAAATAATTCCCTGTATACATACATAACATTGTGGAAAATTTCATCTTAAAATTTAGATATAGCTGCTCCATATAAGGCTTATAAGCTGATTGGTATGAAAATATTGAACTTAATGACCAGATAACTATGTGGTTATTTTTATTCAGTAAAAAAAAAAACTTGAATCTACACAAAATGAAGATGTTTCCACCCAAGTTTCAAGTGCGAAGAAGCCTTTTGAAAGTATTTCAAAATAACCATGCCAACTATGGTTATCCCCCCTCTGTACATACACATTTTCTCGC